AGACAAGTCATCCATCAACATCGCCTCCCCACTCACCACAAATATCTGTTAAAGATCCGAAAATTACAAAAATCAGAGGTTCAGGTTCACGTCTTAAATATCCATCTGAAAAGGCTAGACGTTGCAGAAAATGCAAGAAGAGTGGCCATAATGCTAGATCTTGTCAAGTTTCACGACTTGAGAGGTGAAAAGTTTACTTTGTATTAAATATTTTACATTTGACTAAGGAATTATTTATTCTGTTATATTCCATCTATACGGTTTAAATATTTAATATAGTACTATGTAGTAACTTGTGTCTTTATCATTGCAGGTCTCAAAATTGTAATCAACAATTTGATCTCAATCTGCCAGATTTAGAATGTTGAAGCTTGATAAAAAAATTTTTGGTGTTAGTGCAGGCTGAAGATCGAAGTGTATTAGAATACCACAATGCTGCTTTTTTGTTTGCTCTTGTGCGATTAAGATATAACAAAGTGCTTTGATGTCATTACGTATTTAATTAAGTGCTTGGTTATTTATTTGGTTATTGTCCTCATATGCATGTTTTGTTTCCAAGCACGATTGCACGAGAATTGCTTGCTCTCTTTAATTTTAATACAAGTCAAACACCCTGTACATCTGGTGCAACATAGTCAAACACCCTGTACCCTGTAATCTTAAGAAGTGAAGCACCCTGTGCATAAATAATATAGTTAACAGCATATTGACTATCATTACATGAATAAGCAAACAAAGCCTATCATGGTCTTTAGCGCCCTTGTTGGGAATATTTTATGGTGTTCAATCTAGTTAGTTATCTTTGTATTTATGTAGTTATTAATTAAAAGTGTAAAACGGGCCACAAATGTGTATCAGCCCGTGGGCTTCCTTGTAACCCGTAAGTTAGCCAACTTCTCCTATAAAAGGAGGCTAACTTACGGGAACCCTAAGTGATCGACAGAGGCTTAGAGTTCAGAGGCGTAAAGATAGAGAGAGATTAGGGTTGTCGCTGCTCTCCTTCTCCAGGGAGAGCAGCGGCCGGTTCATACGGTATACCAGATTCGCGTTTAATCTTCGACATATCTTTCTAATAGTTTCTTTTATCACTGCTATGATTGTATGATTGTTAGTATTCTGGGATTAACATTTGGTATCAGAGCCGAGGCGTGAAACAGGTTGGATCTGTCTGCGATTTTTTGGATCTAACGAAGAACTGCTCTGTTTTTTCTTCTGTTTTTCTATATGTAGAGATTTGCTCCTGTAATCTCGTTTGTGAACGAAATTTTGTAAAAATCATACTGTTGGACTCGCCTTTCAAACCGATCCAGCAGCATACCTCTTTTTTCGTTTTCTGCAAATTTTATATTTCGAAGATCTCTACTTTGAGATCTCGAAATCCTTATTTTTCACTGCTGCAGAAACGTTTTTGGCTTGAAACTGATACAGGAGAATCTCGACTTTCAGGGCTATTCAGAACAGGTTTCAGATTTTCAAAAATCAATGTTTTCGTTTTGCAGGATCTCGACATTTAGGGACTCGATTTCCTCTTCTCGACTTTTGAGATCTCGAGATTTGCATCTCGACATCTTGATCTCGAGATTTGCATCTCGAAATCTTGATCTCGAGATTTGCATCTCGACATCTTGATCTCGAGATTTGCATCTCGACATCTTGATCTCGAGATTTGAAGAAAGTAATGAGAGAGCATGTCCCTATGGCTTAGTAAACCCAACTAAGCCTACCCAAGGGACAAAGCCGAGCGTAAGTGCGTAAGTGAGCGAGTGAGTGAGTGAACATTATGAGCATTAGGAAGCAGAAGACTCAAGTGAGAAGAAAAACAATTATCAATGATGAGTCTGCTACCTTAATTGCCTGCTATGAATTGAACATTTGCTCCTAGCCACTAAAATACTCTGGACCATCCCATAGGTTCAGGACTGAATTTACTCAGATCCCGGGTAGAAGTCGCTGCATTTTGTCCAAACGGCGCATGCACAAACCTACCCTAGACCACTCACTTGTCTCCCAACAGACAGGTGTTTAATCATAGTTCACGAGGAACCGCATCTCTCATTACTGTCTCCTTCCGAGGCAAGTAATACTGACTACAGTGGCCTCAGCCCCATGCCACTGAACTTTCATTGATCACGTCGTGTCTAGTTACTCACTTCCCAAATGTTTTGAAATTTTCTAGGACACAGACACATTTTAGAGTCAGTTGCTAGTCTTCAAGACTTGCGAGAACTTCCATAGGGCTCATCTATTACAGATGTAGACCAATAATTGGAAGGAAGTCCTGCTGTTGCAACATAAGAATCACCAACATTTTCAGGCCATTGATTTAGAGTTTATCTCTATAGTGATGATAACGGGCGTCTTCACGACCCCGGGGGGCTACGTTATCTTCTTTACATTCTGCTTGTTTTTCCTGTTTTTATTTCTGCAGAATAAAAGAAAAAAGGCATGACGCCCCGAGTTATCGGATCGTCATGAGGGGGAGAGTGGTCCACATGCTGTTAACACTGAACAAATCATTCTGGGACACTTCACTCCTCCATCACAAAAATCAACACCTTCTCTGCTATCTCTACAACTCAAATCAAATGGTCAGCTACACTCACAAATCAACAATCATTATGTTCCGTTGTGCCACCGACAAGTTCTCCTCAAATGCATTCATTCCAAATAGTCAAAAAGACTACATTGTGGAGGAGACAGAGGTCAAATACTCATGTCCTGAAGATGAATTCCATGGGCGTCTCCTATTCACCAAAGAATATCCATTCTAGAGGCGTCACCGGACTTCATCCAAGCTGATCAAGAACAACTTCTGGAAGGCATGGACTAGATGCAAGATATTGAAGATTCCTCAACCCCCGGCATCAAAGATCAAATTGTCAAGAAGACATCAAAGGGGAGATTGCAAGGATTTCTTCAGATAGCCTTCCTCAGAAGTCAAGTTCAAAGACAAAGGAAGCTCAATAACAACAAAGACAAAGATATCTGCGCTGCAATGCTGATTCAACACGATTGATCACCAAGGGGGAGATTGTTGGGAATATTTTATGGTGTTTAATCTAGTTAGTTATCTTTGTATTTATGTAGTTATTAATTAAAAGTGTAAAACGGGTCACAAATGTGTATCAGCCCGTGGGCTTCCTTGTAACCCTTAAGTTAGCCAACTTCTCCTATAAAAGGAGGCTAACTTACGGGAACCCTAAGTGATCGACAGAGGCTTAGAGTTCAGAGGCGTAAAGATAGAGAGAGATTAGGGTTGCCGTTGCTCTCCTTCTCCAGGGAGAGCAGCGGCCAGTTCATACGGTATACCAGATTCGCGTTTAATCTTCGACATATCTTTCTAATAGCTTCTTTTATCACTGCTATGGTTGTATGATTGTTAGTATTCTGGGATTAACAGCCCTACTCGATCAGGAGATGCACAGAGTCATTTTAAAACCCTCTTGACCATCAAAGGGACAACCTTTTGTAGTTAATCCTGACACAACAAGGCTTTAACTATCATAGTCAAGGGTGAGTTTTACTCTTAAGCCATTGTCTAGGCCATCAAAGGGCCAAGAATTTTTAGAATGACTACTAAATGAATTCACAGATCTATCAGCTGCACTAGTATTATAATATTTCATGGAGAAAATGTGAAAAGAAATACGCATGGCAGGAAATGGGTTTTTGAAAGAAAAAGAAGAAATATGCGTTCATCAATTCTCTTTCTCTGAATTTTGTTCCACTGTATACCATGCTTTCTCCCCTTTCTGCAAAATTCCCAAATCTCAAAACACCCAACCGTCCCAATGCTGCTACTTTCCTATATAATTGCAACACTTTTAATTTGCCATTTGTCATCACATGACTTTCATTATTAGCATACTTAAATGACTTTACATTATTAACACATTATACTTTGGTTCTATTGTATTCATTGATGCATTAAAAAAATTCTTATAGAAGACATTATAAAATTTGTCCTCATTAAAATTTTAAAATACAACTTTTTAAACTGTCACTTTTACTAATAGTCAATTTTAATGATGAGTCTGTGTATTAGAAATATCAAATTAAAACTATTGTAATTAGATATATATATATATATATATAGACCGAGACAATATTAACTATTTCACAAATAGAAGTTAAGAATGTTAAACACACTCTCATAAATGTTAAACATATTTAGTTTGAGATATTTAAATTAAATTACATAAGCAAATTTCAGGTGTTTACCTCACTCCCCTTCAAAGTTGGATTATTTGATTTTTTTCCGTTTATTATACAATATGTGTATGACGTTAACTACAGAGTACAAAATAACAAGGGAAATATACGGAAAATGTGCTTGTGGTTGTTAATGTTTATGTGTTTCATTTTTAACAAAGTCAATCATGTGTTTAAACTCTATTATCGCGCGAGGGTCTTGGTGCCTAGCGGCATTAAAAATGTCGGAGGAAGACGATGAATAGTAACTCTATTTTTTAAAAGTGCACGAAAAATTAAAAGATTTTTTTGGAAGGTGTGCCTAGATGACCTCCAAATCATCTCCGTCATTGGATTTTTCGGATCTATTTGGATAATTCTTTTTAAATGAATTCACTAATATCACTTTTCCAGTAAACTTTCCAGTGATAAGAGGGGTTGGAAACAAAAAAGAAAGATGACCTAGAGGTCGTCTTGTTGAGACACACCTTTGAATATTTTTCTTTTAATTTTCCTGATACTTTTAAAAATCGGAGTGAGTTCATCGTCTTCTTCCAACGATTTTTAACGGCGTTAGGCGCCAAACAAAACCTGATAACGCAATTTACACATATGATCCACTTTGTTAAAAAATACTACCTCCATCCTCCTAACTTTGTTCAGTTTTACCTTTTTCTTCCGTCCCATTAAATTTGTCACATACCATATTTGGTAATATTTGAGTGGTTAGAATTCATTCTTACTTTATTGATAATTTATCCATTCAATACCAAATACACAATTCCATTTTTTTTCTTTTTTAAAACCACACTACACCCATTTTCAAAGAGGGAGTATATTTTTACGTTTTTCATTCACTTGAGTACATTCTGTAATTCTTTTGTTCACCGTCTTCCTCAAAACCTAAACAAGAAATCTAAAACTTTGCACAAGATACATTCATGGAGAACCAAGGCGATGAGAATCGCGTTGACAAGGAAATCGATGAAATACTCGATGAATTCCAGTGCTGTGTTTGCCTGTATGTTTTATTCCCCCCCAATTAAAGTCAGAATCTCATCTCTGCACCTTTCTATGTTTCTGCTTATGCGGTTGCTTTGATTTTGCAGGGAGCTTCTCTATAAGCCTGTTGTAATTGGTAAGAGTTCATAGTTTCATTATGAGGAGGAACAATTTGATAAACCCATACGCCATATGTTTACAAAATTGGTTTGAATGTTTGTGTTCTCCAGGGTGTGGACACATTGCTTGTTTTTGGTGTGTACATAAGTTCATGAATTTTCATATGGAATCGAGCTGCCCAATCTGTAGGCATCAGTTTCATCATTTCCCCCGTATTTGTGGATTGATGCATTTCTTGCTCTTGAAGCTGTATCCCTTGTCCTATAAAAGACGGGAAATACAGGTGGCAGGTGATTAAATCTCAGCCTTCACTTTTCTGCTTTATGTTCTCCATATATAAATGGAATAGTAGTTGATCATAAATTTAATTCATCAAATTTTAAATTTATGACTTTAAAATTTCAAATTGAGCTTTTGGATCACTATCAAGTCTATCAAACACTGCTAGCGTATTGGCTTACCATTTCAGAATTTCTGTGTACATAACTGCATAAGGCTAGCTGCTTGCGCTATATATTTTTTATCATTGGTGTAAAGGAAAGTCTATGAATTGCTAAAGCCCTTGTTTGGTCAAAAGAGGGAAGCTGAGGGGAGATGTAGAAGATAGACGTGGTTTTGAAAATTATATTTTGTTCAATAGTGCTGGCCTATGTAGCACTGATATGGGTACGCGGAAACGGGTATGGAGATACGACAATACCAAAAAAAAGTAGGATAGGGATACGGGGGTATATTTATAAATATTAAAAGTTATGAGTGTGTATTTATAAATATGGGGGTATATTTATAAATATTAAAAATTACAAGATTTTTTTTGAAGATATATACAAATATTATCCCTTGACCTCTTCGCATTCATGGCAATGAAACATTTCACATTATCAAAACAGTTAGAAATAAATTTATATTTAATCTAATATACGGTTGTGCATCTCAAAATATAAATTGAGTCAATACGTCATTAATTTAAAATGAGAAACGAGTCAAACAAATACAATTTTGAAATTAAAAGTACAAATACTCAAAGTTCTTGGATAATGAAGATGAAAACAATACTCTAATAAATAAATAAAACTAAAAGTTCTAATACATATTTTCACTGGAGCTACTAATTTCCAAAGATAACATCGCCTTAGAAAAAGATAAGTCTCCAATTCAGGTTCATCTATGGAAAGGTTAGCAAACTCAAGTACTCCTTGATTCTCTATTCCCCCAAAGTCATCTCCACCAACATCTCACATTTTACTTATCGTCCATATACTTAGTTGTGTGCGAGATTAGTTGTCTATGAGATTAAAATAAGGTAAAATTCATTTTTAGTTTTTCATTTTTTAAGAGTTTTATTTGTTAAATTTTAGGTGTTTTTGTTTGTAAAAAAGTTGATACGTGTATCCGTCAGGATATGGGTATCCAAAATTTTAAAATAATTACCAAAAAGTTGGGAACTTTTAATAAATTACATATACGGCCTGGGAATGTATGGTACAAGTATTCGTGCTTCATATGTGCTGGGTACTTGGGTGGGAGGATTAGCATTTCAGAGTAATATGAAGAATGTCACATTTGATACTCTGCAAATAGAAAGAAGAAAGGAATTATGCATAAAATAACTTCTCTAGAATCTCCCACATTTGGGAGTATGATATGAACAGTTTGGAGGATTTTGTAGTTCCTCTTCCTTCAATCCACTTACCCCAAATCAAACATCATACAACTATGCGACTTTCCTCCCCTCCCATTACACTCTCCTCTAGATTCCTCCAACCAACCAAATTCTTAGAGTTCACCCTCATCTACAGGTTGCCATTTCTTCAATGTTCAATTTTATATTTACATTTGCAGAAGATGCTTATGCTCTCATATTCTAATGCCTTCTCCCTTAGTTGTGCAGAAGAAGAGAAGATAATAGGGATTATGTCTCCACAGCTTGATGATGATACATCAGAAGCTTGTAGCCAGGAGCTTGTTGTCAAAGACCCAACTTTACCACTTTCTTTTGGGGGTTTGGGAAGATCCAGTTCTCCAAAAGGAGAAACTTCATTACTTCAAGACTTCTCTGAAAACAACGGAGGCGGAGATAAGACTGAAAACACCAAAGGCGGAGATAAGTTTATTGAGCAAAATGATAAACATCGGCTTTTAGCCTATTTGAAATGCGGGGTATGCAAATTGTTGCTATGCTGTCCAGTTGTTCTTAATTGTGGTCACGGTATGCCCAGTTTCCTTAAATTATCACTTATACAAAACTTAGATCATTTAGGTAAGACTGATATGGCTGAAGTAGAAGTGGCTGATTCTGTTGAATTTGTGACTGAATGCTTGAATCTGTTGAATGCACATTTTAACGAATTATAGAAATAATATATTAAAATGTAGTATTATTAATTTAAGCAAAAAAAGTAAGTCACGCCCAAAATTTTTCCAATATGTGCCGATTCCGGCAGAACAACAACAACAACATCCAGGCTTTATTCCCAAAAGATTTTGGGGTTGGCTAATATGAATCGATCCATGATATTGATATTAGAGCCAAAAAGAGAAGAAAGATAAGAAAAATAAAAAGATAAGGTAAAATGAAATGGATAAAATAAAGATAAATGTAAAATAAAAATAACATATGAACATAAGAAAGATAAAAGATAAAAAGATAAAAGAACATAAGAAAGATAAAAGATAGAAGTAACATAAGAACATAGAAACATAAAGAACAATGAAATAAATTTAATGTTTGGTGAACAAATGGACTGGTAAGACGCAATGAAGTCTACAAACTGGTTCTATAGTTTGGTCATCAATCTTTAATGAAATTCTCTTCTTTCTACAGTTTATTGTGGAGCTTGTATCTTCAACCAATGTGATAAGTTGTGTAGATGTCCAGTTTGTCAAACGGAGCACCCAAATGGGTACCCACGCACATGTTTGGTTATTGAGCATTTTATTACAGAGCAATTTCCTGAGGAGCATGCAGCAAGGAAAAGGACTTACCTCCACAAATCTGATTCTGAATCAACAAGTAATTCATGAATTCAACATGATCATTGTCCATCATCTCTTCATATGCAGAGTTTGTATCAATTGACTTTTGGCTGTCTTTCTGCACTGGCTATTATTTGAATGTTCTTCGGTTTATGTCTCTTAAATCTTGAATTTTATCTTAAATTCATTTTTATGAGAAACTTGTGGCATGTTTTTACTGGATTTTCTAAGCTTGACTGACTGTATTAGTTTTTCTTCTTTGTGATTTGTCTTTTGAAACACTGCATTAGTATGCTAGATGTCATTACGTCATTATGGAGCACCCAAAAACTGCATTAGTATGCTAGATGTGACTGAGCTTTACTGGTGTTTGTTGATTTTAAAGGATTTAAGCTTCATGCTTCCTATAAGTGAAACCCAGTTTTCATTTTCATATTTCTAATATATATACTGTTACATTTGATGTTAGGTGGAACAAAAATGATAAAAAATGTCCAATCCTCCTCAGCTCGTGCCCGTGATATCAGATCTTGGTTACCAGGGGAGAAACCTGTTCATCATTTAGTTGGCTGTGATTACTGTGGGGTAAGATCCTTTCCATTCTACCCTGATTGTTATATTTTTCCTGCTCTCCTGTTCGTTTGGCTTTCATCAAGAGTAGCTGACTGACTAGTCATGTAGTCTCCAAATAGTTTTTGGACTCAGGTTGTTTTTACTTGGACTGTAATTCGTCCCAAACCAGACCAGACCAGACCAGACCAAAACAGACCAGACCAGACCATATTTTATTAAAATTATTATTATTATCATCATCGTCATCATCATCATCACTGTCATTGTTATTATTATTAGTATTATTAGTATTATTACTATTATTACTATTATTACTATTATTACTATTATTATTTTTAATTATAAATGAATAAAATATAATTATTTATGGATTATAATATATATAAAAAATAAAATCTTTATGCAAAAAATATAAAAAATAAAATTTCAGACCAGACCAGACCATATTTTATTATTATTATCATCATCATCATCATCATCATCATCATGATCATCATCATCATGATCATCATCATCATGATCATCATCATCATGATTATTATTATTATTATTATTATTATTATTATTATTATTATTATTATTATTATGATGATGATCATCGTCGCCGTCGTCGTCGTCGTCATTAGCATCATCATCATCATTGTTATTGTTATTATTAGTATTATTAGTATTATTACTATGATTACTATTATTATTTTTAATTATAAATGAATAAAATATAATTATTTATGGATTATAATATATATAAAAAATAAAATCTTTATGCAAAAAATATAAAAAATGAAATTTCAGACAAGACCAGACCAGACCAGACTAAAAGAGACCAGACCAGACCAGCAAATTACAGTCCAAGTAAAAACATCCTCAAACCGCTTTGGTTGTCTTCTATTTTTGTTCATTCACTTAGGCTATGCTCGTATCCTGGATAGTGTTTGGAAAAGGAAATAAAATGCTACGTAGGTCTTCTCAGTGTGTGCTTACCTTGGCAAATACAAATAAGGAGCAGTAAAATAATCATTAAATCATGATTATTAGGTGATTTGGGTCAATGCTACTTTCTTCCTGTGCAGTTCTTTTCTCTTTCTTCTTTCGTTTTCTCTTCCTTTATTTCTTTCTTTCCTGTTGTCATTCTCTCTTTTCCCCTGTTGTGCTGGACGACTCCTTTGCCGACTGCCGAGTTTAAACCCGCTGGTTTGGACTAGCGTCCCGAGCAACGAGATAGAGCAGGACGACCCTTTCTTTCTCTCTCTCCTCCTTTACTCCCTTCTTCTCTAGTTTTCTGCTCACCGGCTCCTTGTTCTCCGGCGCGTTCATAATCCGTCTTCACCAACCGCCGCCACAGATCCAACCTGCCGTCGCCTTGGCAGGTGCAAAATCCAAGTTTCACGACATCGACCGACACCCAATCTTTAAGGAAGATATTGAGTCCTAAGAGGTGTGAAAGGAAAAACCAACAAGAGCGAAAGGAGCGGATCGGACATGGAGAAAGAAGAAAGAAAGAAAGTGAAAAAGAAATGAAAAATTAAAAAAATTGGAAAAATCTCAGTGGACTTCGACGTAGGCGTGTAACTGGGTACCGGCTGGCAACCTGGTAACAAGCTAATTTGGTTATTTTTTAATATATCTGGGACTTAATTGATTCATTTAAAACTACAAGGATTCAATTGACTTTTTAGCAATCGTACGGGCATCTATTTGACAATTTTCCCTTTTCTATTAATCATATAAATAGAGTAACCACATGACAATGTCACATTAAATTAGTCAAATTAATACCACTTCTTATCTCATGCAAATGTAATCAAGTGTTGTAAACTTGTAATTGAGAAGATATGTTACATTTTGATACATCATGCTCTGAGTATCACCAAGTGACAAATGTGGTTTTATGTATATACAGATGTGTCCAATCATTGGGGAACGGTACAAATGCGAAGACTGCAAGGAAAAGATGGGCTTTGATCTGTGCGGAGAATGTTACATAAATAGTTCATCTAATCTTCGCCCTGGCAGATTTAATCAGCAGCACACAGCAGACCATAAATTTAATCTTGTGCAACCACTTCAATTTATAAATGGCTCTTTGGAAACGGGCTCCCCTCCATATGATCCAACAGGGGAGAACTATCCTTCATCCCCTCCATATGAGATGAGCTCTCCCGGCGGCCCCTATCCATATGATTCAACTGGGGAGTTCTATCCTGCATCCCCTCCATATACTCCACCAGAGGACCACTATCCTTCACCCGCTGCATCCCTTCCATATACTCCAACAGTGGACCACTATCCTTCACCTCCTCCAACCCCTCCGTACGAGATGAGCTCTCCCGGCGGCCCCCATCCATACGATTCAACGGGGGAGTACTATCCTCTCTCCCCTGCATATGATCCAACTGGGGAGTACTATCCTGCATCTCCTACATATTCTCCTATGGGGGACCACTATCCTTCACCCCCTTCCCTATGAGACGAACTCTCGTGGCTTTCTACCATGTATCTAGCGAGTACCCAAGTTAACAGTGCATTTGGTGAGATTTCTTAAAATGGCATGTAAGATTCTGCTTCGGAGAACACAATGGGCAGTGCATATTAGTCAAATTTCTCTTGTGAGATGGTGCATGGGAGTACCCCGCACTGTTAATTTGGTACTAGTTTTTTTTTGCGGTGGTTCGGTACAGTATACCGAATATTTTCTCTCATACTTTTGTCGTACCGAAACTTTCGGTATGCAAAATTTATATACTGTTACCTTACGGAAATTTCGGTATACCGTATCTCGGTATACCGTACTTCGGTTCGGTAGCGGTACGGTATTGATAACTTACCATAAATGTCTCTCAATACAACAAATCATCATAGGCTAACGAAATATACAAAATCGGTGTTGCTAGTGACATACTTAATCCATTATTAAAATTTTACAAATACAAATAACAATCTATTGATATTCAATATTGAACAATAATTATAAAGAAAAATTGATTGTAATAATCCCAACTATTGGTGGTCCGCACATAACAATCCCAACTATCGATTATTTTAGAATAATCCCCAACTTTAAAGCCCTTCTGCCAATAATGATCTGAGGTGATCGACTATAAATAAATTCCTATAGTTTCTAAAGAGTTATAGCAGGTAATCCCTATAAATAATCCCGAATTTTTATTTTTACGCTTAATTTCTATTAAAAATTCACTTTTTAGAGCAGGTAATATGTGGTCATGGACCATTATTGGTAGACGATCAAGAGTTGGAATTATTATTAGCGGACCGGTAATAGTTGAGATTATTATTTTCAATTTTCCTAATTATTATTAGTATATTTAAGCGGTTCAATATACCACGTATTAAAAAATAACAAATTCTTCTAAAATAACTTAATTATTATAGATATAATTAAATAGTAGTGATCTGTAACAAAAAAATAAAATAATTCAAACAACATGGATATAAAATCATTTATCCATAATATGATATTGTGTAGTTAGTTATTTTTAAAATTTGGAAAAAATATATACTTGAATAGCATTTTCGGTATAACGGTACACTTTATTTTCAAAACATAATATGATACCGAAGTACTTCGGTACCATACCATAACGAAATAAGTTCACCTACTATTAGAAAAATGTCAATTAAAGCTACTAACTCAAATAACACTCAATTAAGTACTCGAATTGTAAAAATAAAATCAAAACAATTTTTTAATAGGTAAACACACAGGTCCATTAAACATTACACATGACAACACGTGTCATTTTTTTTTCTCCTTTTCTTTTTCTCTTTTTTTTTTTCTTTTTCCCTGGTCTTCTCTTCCCCTGCGGCCGTTAGCTTTCTCCCTGCACATTTTAACTTTCTTTCTCAATCGCAGGGAAACATGTATGGTTTTCAATTTTAATCTTTTCTTTTCCTTCTTCCAATTGTAATATACTGCCGAAGCTAACTCCGTCGTCCATGAGGCTGCAACAAGGTCTCCGCCCAGGTTCCGGCAATCCTCGTCGCCGTCGACTTCTTAACGCCCCAGAGCACAGCCTCCCGTCGCAATACGAGACTGTAATGGACTCCGTCATCTGGGTCAACGAATGATCCACTAAAACGCGATGACAACGACGATGGATCTCTCGACGCAGCTTTGTGGCGCTGATCTGGGTCTGGATCTGTGAGGACTCTGCTGCTTGGATTCGGAGCGAAACATTGACCTGATGTATTGATGTGTGCAATGAAGAAATCAGCCGGGGAAGACAAAGAAAGAAAAGGGACGGAACAAAGAGAAAAAAGGAGAATAGTTCAGCGCAGGGAAGAAGGCGTAGGGAAGAAGGGAGCGGCAAGTAGAAAGAAAGGGAAAAATGAATAAGAAAATAAAATGAAAAATATGCCATGTAGACGCCACAAACGCGTTTTAATTAACCGGCCGCCACAAACACATTTTAATAATCGGATACCGGGACGTTACCGGTAAACAAGACAATTTGACTCGTTTTCCATCGTTCGTGGGTTTAATCGAGTGTTATTTGAGTTCGTGGGCTTAATTGACATTTTCGTAATAGTAGGGAGATTTATTTGACACTTTTCCCTTTTGATTTGGTAAATACGGTATACCGAAATTTCGGTATTTTTTCGCAGTCCTAAAATTTTCCCACCCTCTTAAGAAGTTATGAAGAAATTATGACTAAAATCACTTCATTTACATAGTTGAACTTACATTCATTTTATATTGAGCTAAAATTATCATTTAATTAGTTATCCTTCAAAACCTCCTGATATAGGGAACTTAAAAGTTGTAAAAGTTGTGCATTTGAAGGTTTGGGGGGGGGGGGGGGGGGGGGGGGATCACAAGAAACTCTCAAAAGGATTCCTTTCAACCTTTTAAACTCTCAAATAAGAATGAGAGGATCATAAGTCCAAAACTAAATTCCCAATATGATATATAAATATATAACTACTTATACAAAGTGATTATGTTAGTAATTTTTAATGGTTTTGACTTTTGATTGTGATCAATTTTACGTTATAGTTACCATGATGAAATTGTGTTTACATTAATTTTAGTCGCATTTTGCCCCACAAATTTTATCTCGGTAGTATTTTAGCAAAACTTTGATCCCTTAGCTTACACAAAATGCCCTCCCTCTTAAAACAAAAGATACTACATGTACCGGGACAGCCGTCTGGCCCGGCCCGTTGAGGGTTTTCATGGTAGATTTTTTTATAATATTTTTGAGCATGATCTTTATCAAATCTAGTTTATACTCACCAAACTTCAGCTAAAAATTCAATCGAGAAGTCAGTCAAATGTGTAATTGAAAAACACTGCAATTATATATATATATATATATATATATATATATATATACATACATATATACATATACATATATATATATATATATATAGTATACATATATATGTACATATACATATATATGTACATATACATATATATGTACATATACATATATATGTACATATACATATATATGTACATATACATATATATGTACATATACATATATATATATATATATAAAGCACATTATCCTTAAATAATTTATTTAACTGCTTTTCTGATTGAATTTTAAGTTGAATGCAGATCCTGTCAGGCAAGCATGATAGGAATGCCACTCATGTAATGAGTTGATTATGTGTCGAAATGGGTGGAAGCTAAAGCCACAAAAATTGATGATACCAAAGTGGTTGCTACTTTTATTAAGTCACACATATTTTCTAGGTTTGAGGTTAAACATATACTCCGTATGTATAACGACTAGTTTAATTTCTTATGACTTTTAGGTGCTATCTTTTTAGTTTATGGATGATGATGTCTAATTTTCTACATTTCAAAGTTTGGTGTTATTTAATTATTAAACGTGGTGTATTATGGTCTTATGGTCATGAATATGAAATGTGGTGTATTATGGTCCATCAGACTATTGCTCATTAAGTTTACTTTTAGTCGTATATAGGACAATTACTTTATGAAATAAGCCAAGAACTAAGGATGTTTTTACTTAGACTGAAATTTGCTGGCCTGATCTGATCTATTTAAGTCTGGTCTCCTTGGTTTGATCTCGCAAGTGTCTGATTTTTGTGTATTTTATAACTATGAAAGTCTGGTCTGATCTGGTCTGGTCTGGTTTGGACTGATCTAGTCTAATCTGATCTGGGACTAGAAATAGTTCAAATAAAAACATCCTAAATAAGTTGTTGAAGAGGAAAATAGAAAATAATACTCCGTACTAGAAAATGTCTTTACAAGTGGAGGCAAAATCGTAAAAGGTGTTATCCATATAAAGGGGAAGAAGTTAAGCTTAAATAAATTTTTAGTCATGCAAATAGAGTGCCTCTTTTTCTTGTCCTGGGAATTATTATTTTTATTTTCTAATAATTTATGTGACTTTTCTTTTTAATCACTCACCGATCATAGCAAACTCCTTTTTACAATGAATTAACCATGATTAATAGATTCCCTTTCAATTTTTGTCATATATAATTCTAAACATAATTTTGTTTTTTAGAGGTCGCTAAATTTTATTTGAAAATGTAAATAATTGTTTTACATTATTTTAATTCCAATATTAGACTCCAAGAGATTATAAAATCTAAGTTATAAAGTTTCTATTAAAGTTATGCAACTGACTTTATTTTTTTATAAGGGAAACTACCTATTTTGATATCATTAAATATCATACTTAAAGAGATCAATATTGATTACAACCTTCTTCTTCCAACTACAACTGTTAACCTTATGATTAGACTTAAGAGTGATAGAGACAATCATCCTTAAAGAAGTAACACAAATCACTAAACACCAAAAGACTGCTATCGCTGATCATATAGATCATCATACTTATAATCATGCCAAACCTATTTGAAATTTCAGCCATCATAATAAACCTAGAAATATAGACATTAACCGAGAACAAACCAACATAATAAAATGCAGAATAAAAATAAAAGAAGAAAATATAGTCTTTCCGATTGAAGACCCACATAGACCTAACATGTCATCTCTAGGGCTCTACCATGGAAACCTTCCTTATTGAGAGTGACGCCACTATAGTTAGTGTGACACCGCACCCGGACGTACTTGAAACTACGGTTAAAAACTCAAAGTTGATGTACCAAATTCTCTATTATCAACCATGTGTAAAACGATTAACACTTTTATGTAATTAGGAGGCGTTTAATTCGCTGCTACAATCATAGTTAGGTTAGTAAGACAGGTAAAGTAAACACGCAAATTGTTTAAAACGTTGCTTACTAACCGAAAGAGGTGCTTAAAGTGCCGCTTACTAAGCATACCACCCCCCATGTTTTAATTAAGCGGCACTTTAAGATTTTTTAGTTTCCGAATTTACCCTTACTTTTACCCCTTGCCCTTACCCTATTGCTACCCCATTACCCTGACCCCAACCCCACCCTTGACCCGACCATACCAACACCCCCACTAGTACTCCTTACCTTTATCCTACCCGACCCTACCCTTTTACCGCTTACCACCTGCCCCTACTTCGACCCCACCCCAATCCCGACCCCTCCCCCACCACCTTACCCAACCCCTACCCCCACCCTCACCCCCTTACCCTACCCCTTTACCCCATACCACCTTCCCCTACCTTGACCCAACCCCACCCCCTTCCTACCTCATTACCCCTACCCCTGCCCCTACCTCAACCCACCCCTACCCCCAGACGACCATA